GTGAATCAACAGCCAATTTAATTTGGAGTTTATGGTGCTTTCATATTCAGATTGATTGAGCTAAGGCAAAAAGATATTTGACAATGAAGTTATGGACCTTGCTATGTTCAGTTTTCAAGAAGCAGAATAGGTAATTTAGGAAGTTTTATGTATTTATTTTCCTCTTTCTAACATAGAAGAGTATGTGAAAATGAAAAAGACTTTATTGGCAAAGCAGCAGTGATCTTTCTTCCCACTATTGGTTAAAGCCGTGTGAATTGATTTTGCAAATTCAGCACTGAAAAATTGTTCCTAATAGATACTCTGTCTCAGCAGGAAAACTAGACAAACTTTTTTTGTTGAAAATGAAGTTAGAGTTCGAGTAATATGTAAGTTGCATAAAACTTGTGTGTTTTGAAATACAATTATTATAAAACTAATTAGTAATTACTGTTTGTCTTTCAAGAAGAAAGAGAAGGGCTAGGTGCTGTACAAACACATGACATCTGCACAGATACTATCACAGAATCACAGGCTGAATGGATTTTGAAAGATCAGGGTTTATCATGCTGCCCCAAGGCAAGATTAACTATCCCTGTGTAATTTCTGAGAGATGTTTGCTTAAGTTGTTCTTAAAGGTCTCCAAAGGTGGATGCTTCACAGCTTCCCAGGGCAATTTATTCTGGTGCTTTACCACCCTTCCTGTTAGAGAATTTTTTCCCATAATGTTTGAACATAAATTTCTGTTATTGCAATTTAAACTTTTTATTTCTTTTCCTAACCACCAAAGATACTTGAAAGATTATTTGCTCCATCTTGCAACAGCCTTGAACACTGTTATTTTACTCCTCCCTTCCTCAGCCTGCTTTTTCTTTTTGGCTACGTGACAGCAATTAATTCAGGCCTTTCATGTAGGGTGGCTGTTCTGGGCCTCTGGTCTCCCTCTCTTGTCTTACTCAGAAGTCTTCCTGGTGCTTCAGCTTCCCTAAAATGTACCCAAAGTGAGAAGCCAGTTCTTCAGCTGAGGCATTGCTGGCAGATGAAGGACTCCTGCACACTTGCATGTTCTGCTCCAGCTTGCATCCTAGTGTTAGTATTTTTCAGATTACGTGGCTGATTCATGCTCAGCTGGTGGTCCCTTACAACTTCCAAGACCTGTTAGGAAAAGAAGGTCTCTTATTTTCCTAACAGGTCTAACCTTAGCTCATTGCTCTCTATTGTGAATTTGTGTAGTTGGTTAATCTGACCTAAGTGCTGTCCTCTTGTTTTTCCAAGAGAGACTTACGGTGCATTTTACAGCTAGACAGAGGCTTGAGGTATGGAAGAAAAAAATAGCTTAGACAAGATCACACAGGGAACTTGGGGAAGAGCCAGGAATCCTTTCTGACTGACCTCCAGAGGCCTCATCTGCAGTCTCCTCCCTGGTGTAAGTGGAAAATCATTGAGTTGAACACTGAAATTATAGCAAGCTCTAATATATTTTCACTCTGACTCATTTTCACTCATTACTGTATTTATGGCCTTTACTAATAAGTGCCAACAAGATGAATGTTTGCCAGCCATCTATCAGAGTCTTCTGTGCGTTCGTTCTACACATGGCATTATCTACAACTATACACTAAAACCAAAAGTTGCTAATATTTCATCATGCAAACATTGTATGAATTAGCAGCTTTTGCAGACAGACAGGCTGCTAGCCTGTCAGATAGCAGCAAATTTTGTTTTGTGTTCTCCAGAGATTAATAGCCCTTCTACTCTTTTTCTTAATGAGAAGAACAGGCAGGCGTGGTACAGCCAGCCACTTGTATTCATCACGCTGCCCTCCAGCTTTATATTGACAAAAAGAGAAGGGAAGAGGGAATACCATGAAATCACTAAACTGCTTCTTCTGTAAGAAAGCCAGTTAGGTATAGGTTTCTAATGCAATTTCCCCAGTGATGCTTCTGTGGGAGTTGTTGGTATTAAGCACTCTAGAATAACGAGTTATTTGACTAAGTTCTCTAAAGGGAACAAATCACAGAATCACATGATGACTTAGGTTGCAAGGAACTTCAAAGATCATATATAGGAGGCTATAAGTAAGAAGGGGACAGGCTCTTTAGCAGGGCCTGTTCTAGTTGGTCAAGGGGAAATGGTTTCAGACTAAAAGAGGGGAGTTTGGGATTGGATTTGGAAAAAGTTTTTTACAATAAAGGTGGCGAGACACTGGAACAGGTTGCCTGGAGATGTGGAGGATGCCTTGAATGTCATTGGAGACATTCAAGGTCAGGCTGGACGAGGCTCTGGGTACTGTAATCTAGCTGTAGGTGCCCCTGTTCATTGCAGGAGAGTTGGGCTAGATTACCTTTAATGGTCCCTTCAAACTCAAATGATTCTTTGATTATCTACTTCCAGCCCCCCTGTCATGGGCAGAATTGCCAACCACTACAGCAGGATGCCCAGGGCCCCACCTGGACTTGAATGCCTCCAAGGATGGCATCCACATCTTCTCTGGACAGCCTCTGCCAGTGCCTCACCACCCTCTGAGTAAAGAATTTTCACCTAATATTTAACCTAACTCTCCCTCTTGTCTTTTAGTCTGAAGTCATTCCAGTCTCCCCGGAGTCTTTTCTTCTCCAAGATAAACAAGCCCAGCTCCCTCAGCCTTTCTTTATGAGAGCTGCTCCAGTCCTCTGATCATCCCCATGGTCCTCCTCTGGACTAACTCCAACAGCTGTAAATCTTTCCTGTGTTGGGAGCCTCAGACCTGGATGCAGTACTCCAGACAGGGACTTACAAGGGCTGAGTAGAGGGGGACAATCTGCTCCTTCACCCTGTTGCCACCCCTCTGTTGATGCAGCCCAGAATACTGTTGGCCTTCTGAGCTGCAAAAGCACTTTTCTGCCTCATGTCTTTTCAGATTAGATGGAGATTGGCTTGACAAGCATGTCAGCCAGTTCCTTCAGAACCTTGGATGCATGTTGTCTGGCCCCATAGACTTGTACATATTTAGTCTCATGAGGTGGTCTCTGACTTGCTCTGCTCTCAGAGAGGCATTTTGCTCCCTTGGCCCCCACCTAGAGGTTCAGGGATGTGAGAGATGTGAGAAGCCTGACTGGCAGTGAAGACTGAGGCAATGAATTTGTTGCATATCTCAACCTTCTCTATGTCAGTTATAACCACAGAATCACAGAATGGCCAGGGTTGGAAGGGACCTTAAGGATCATCAATCTCCAACCCCCATGCCACGTGCAGGGCCACCAACCTCCTCATTTAGTGCTAGACCAGGCTGCCCAGGGCTCCGTCCAACCTGGCCGTGAACACTTCCAGGGACGGAGCATCCACAACCTCTCTGGGCAGCTGTTCCAGCACCTCACCACTCTCTCTGTAAAGAATTTCCCCCTGACGTCCAACCTAAATCTCCCTTCCCTCAGCTTAAAACCGTTTCCCCTCGTTCTACAGTTATCTACCCTTTCAAAGAAGTGATTCCCTCCTATTTGTAGGCTCCCTTTAGGTATTGAAATGCTGCAACGAGGTCGCCCCGCAGCCTTCTTTTCTCCAGGCTGAACAAGCCCAGCTCCCTCAGCCTGTCTTCACAGGGGAGGTGCTCCAGTCCCCCGATCATCTTTGTGGCCCTCCTCTGGACCCTCTCCAACAGCTCCCTGTCTTTCTTGTACTGGGGGCTCCAGACCTGGATGCAGTATTCCAGATGGGGCCTCACAAGAGCAGAGTAGAGGGGAACAATCACCTCCCTGTCCCTGCTGGCCACCCCTCTTTTGATGGAGCCCAGGATACCATTTGCCTTCTGAGCCGCAAGAGCACCCTGCTGGCTCATGTTAAATTTTTCATCTATCAGGATCCCCAGGTCCTTCTCCACAGGGCTGCTCTCAAGGACCGCTCCTTCCAGTCTGTATGGATGCCTGGGATTCCTCCAGCCCAAGTGCAAAACTCTGCCGTGTTGAACCTCATCAGGTTCACCCGGGCCCACCTTTCTAGCCTCTTGAGGTCCCTCTGAATGGCATCCCGTCCTTCAACCGTGTCAACCGCACCACTCAGCTTGGTGTCATCAGCAAAGGTGCACTCAATTCCATCATTCGATGTCACTGATGAAGATGTTAAAGAGCACCGGTCCCAAGACAGACCCCTGGGGGACGCCACTTGTTACCAGCCTCCACCTGGACACAGAGCCATTGATGACCACCCTCTGTCTGCGGCCTTTCAACCAGTTTCTTATCCATCGAGTGGTCCACCCATCAAATCCACATCCCTCCAGTTTGGAGATAAGGATGTGGTGGGGGACCATGTCAAGGCCTTGCTCAAGTCCAGGTAAATGACATCTGTCGCCTTTCCCTTGTACCGATGCCGTCACTCCATCATAAAAGGCCACCAGATTGGCCAAGTTCTCCTTTTTCATTTATCAGGGGGGGTGCGCTCTCCTTTGCCTGTCTCTTCTGACCAGTGTACCTGTAGAAACCCTTCTTGTTCCTTTTCACATCCCTTGCTAATTTCAGTTCCATCTGTGCCTTGGCTTTCCTCATCCCATCTCTGCACATCCAGACAGCATTCCTGTATTCTTCTCAGGCTCTGCTTCCACTGCCTCTGCATTTTCTTCTTTTTCCTCAGTTTGACCAGCAGGTCCTTGTTCAGCCATGCTGATTTCCTGCCTCTTCTGCTTGATTTCTTATGCAAAGTCTCTTAAGAGAGCTGAATGATTGCCTAAATATGAATTACTGAGTGATTTTAAGAAGTGGTGTTTCAAGCAGAAGCTGGTAATGAGAAACAATGTTAATATGACAACAGATGTGGTGGGCATAAAGCAGCACTACTGTCTGCTGAGTAGGACACATCAGAATGTGAAGTTTTATTGTCTTTGGTGCTGTGGTTTGAAATGTTTAGCTTGACTCTGATGCTAGTGATTAGAAACACACTGTTTATTATTAAAAGAATCAAGTACTGTATTCTGCTCTGGTTTTCAAAATGCACCCATCATTGTGGTCACCAACTTCTTTAATCATTTGTGTTTTTTTTTTCCAGCACAACATTTTAAAAAAATATTTTTCTGACGTTATCTGCAAAGTTACAACTGATTCAAGTTATACCTTCTGTTGAGTTGCTGCTGTCTTGTTCCAGCCTACGTGGGTGCCAGGTTCCCAATGTTTTATTTGGTTTCTGATCTGGAAAAGAATTTCCCCTGCAAGTAAACCAATATTTTAAATGCTATAAGGGTTGCATATTGCCTTTGGGGTAAGTGTGCTTTTTTGTTCAGCTACAGATGAATGCCTGTGTATGGGAACTGTTGAGTCATGGCCTGAACCACTGATTGAACACCTGGGGAAAGGACCTGGGAGCACAGGTGAAGGCAATTCACCAGTGTGACCAGAAGGAGTAGAACCTGGCTGCACTTCTCTTAGACCCCATTTAAGAGCTGACTCTTTCTGGAGATCCCTTTGTGGTGGGGCTTTCCCCTGCAAACCTGGAATCGTCTGATATGAGTGAGCAACCTTCTTCCCTTCTTTTATAGCACCTTTCTATCTTTCTATTATGCCAATCCTTTGTCATTACACCTCTGGTGAAATATCATTTCCCATCATATTGATCTGTCCAATTGCTATAGGCCTGCCTTAGAACTAGAGTGCAGGTAAAAATGGCCAAGCAGGTACTTCTCAGTTTCATTTCTTCTGGGCTGAGGTGAGGCTTAATCTGTGCTCACATTATGTGTGCATGTTTCTTTTTTGGATGCTTAGAAAATCCTTGGCATATTACATGTAGTTGGGTAAATGAGTAAATCTATCCCTGAATTAGAAAGCTGAGTACTGTTTCATTCTTCCAATAAAAATTAACATATGTTAGTGCTGAGTTAATCCTAACTACCCATCAAAATTATTGCTAGAGGTTATACTCTATGATTAACTCAAACACAGATCTGGAAAATTCTGGTCAGAGGCATTCAGCTCACTGTTGAGACACTATTAAACTGACACGGAAGGATGAGTACTCTTAAGCTATCCATTCTTAGACAAGAGTCTGGTAGAAATAGGTGCCACCTATGTTTTAGTGAAGCACTTACATTACTATGGCTGGTCTTGCTGGAAGTCATCCAGTGGTGTGTGTTTTGGTCACCTTTGTTGCTAAACTGCTTCTGTGCCTTTTGACTCGAGCTCTCACAATCCTCTTATCCAAGGAAGGAGCAAAGGAATCTCCTTCTAAGTGATTTGTATGCCACTTAATGATGTTTACATGTTGTCTCTGTGTTTTGCAGCTCATGTACAATACATTAATTGATTACCCCAATGTGCTCATGTGATGTACCCTCAGAGTCACCAGGAAAAATCCCCTTGATTTGAGAGATTTCATAATATGGCTCACTGGATAGTAAAAGTTATTCCAGAAATAATTTCTCAGCAGTTCTTGATGTTCCTTGTTTTCAGTATTGCTGTAAAACGTGGGCAAAAAGGAACCAGAACTGTTGACTGCAGCATGCCTTTCTAATTAACTATTTTTCAGATCCTATTTGATTCCTCCCCAGTTGAGCACTAGACAGAAATCTCAGCACTAGAAAATACTCATTTTTTTCAATTAGAGGTCATACTTAGGAAGAAAAAGTACCCTGCAATTTTGTACTTAGAGTCTGCTGGAGGGTGCACATAAGTGAATTTAGATTACTTTATACTCAATAATACTGTCATAGTCTTTGATAACTCAAGATTTACTGTTAAAATAACTGTGGAGCTAATGAGAGCCGTGTTTTTGTGTCAGTGTATCTGCTTGTTGGTGAAGAGGAAATTAAGCTTTTTGTCAGTTTGCAATTTTCTAGTTTATCTTTGGCACTGGCAATTGGTTATGCAGAGCAGAGCAGATAAACCCTCTGCATTCTCTTCGCTGCCATGTCTCCAGGCTGCATGTGCCCCGCACTGTTGGAGCATCTCAATCCTCTTCTCACTCTTGAGTACTGACATGATCATATGCCAGGCTCAGAAATGAAGTCCAGATTGCTAACAGTGTTGTGGTTGATGTCCCTGGAAGTGGGGCTGGATAAGGCCCTGGGCGACCTGATCTAGCTGCAGTGTCCCTGTTCATTGCAGGGAAATTGGATGATGTTATGATTCTATGATTCTAACTACAGGGCTATCTATGTTGTTGTTTGTAGAGACTAGACTAGGACTGCATAGCCACTAGCAAACTATGGAATTGCCATGGAAATATCCTTTTAATAGTGTTATTTTAACCCTAAGAAAGTTACCTGCACATTGAGACTGAGAACCTTTCCTGAGTTTTTCATTTTTTTTTATTTCTGAGACAAAGAATGAAATTTCAAATGCTGCCTCGCTTGGCCCATTCCTAAGCTGCAGCGAAAACATGCACCTGACTTTAAGAATATTAAAATAAACACAAGTAAAAAAGTTCTTTTGATGCAAGCTCATCACTACCACCATGTTCTCTATAGAAATGCCTATGAACTGCTGGCTTGTCTAATCTTTTTTCCTCTCTCCTCTCGTTAACAGAGCACTGGTCTTGTGAGGAAGCCAAGATATTATCCTGGAGGCTGCACCTTGTGGTCTGTGAGACCCTGAGATTTTGGACCTCCTCCTGGTGCCCCTTCTTTCCTAAGGAGCATAATCCCAGCAGCTCTGCAGGGGAGAACAAGGTATGGTGCTGTCTGCCTCTTCGGGAGGCAGTGAAGTGTGGTCTACTTCTAATTCTCTGTTACTTTCCTCCTAAAGCAGAGGGGATATCCAGGTAACCCTGCCTACTTATGCAGGGAGAAATAGCAGAGGAGTTTAGAGGCCAGGCTGCTTAGGTGGGGTGAGGCATGGATTAGCACTGGAATTGGCTGCTTTAATGGTGCTGATTGTCTTGCAGACTTGGTATTGCAGTCATACTATAGCATTATTATGCTGCCTATTGATTGCACGTGTGTGTACGTTTGTGTGTAAAGGATTAAGAGAAAATTGCTTGGAAAGAAGTTAGTGTTAAAGAGCTTTCTAGATTCAGCTCTGAGCTGCTGCTATAAGATCTCACAGTTAGAAGTGTGGAAACTAGCTAAATCTGCTAGAAATTCTGCTATCTTCACCAGAAGTCCAGTGAGACTTCCTAATCTTGAGAGCCTGCCATCACCCTGTGATTATATCTTACGTACTTGGCTGCTCCTGCGTGGAAGAAATTCCTCCTCTCAGCTTTGGGCTCAGTTCAGATGCCAGTTCTCATAAGGGCTAAATTTAAATTTGGGTTTGAACATACATGCAGTAGGAGAGAAACTCCACCCATCTGTAACACTTTCATATCTGCATGAGGTGAGAAGGACAGGGCTCTTTCCTTTTTTACCTGCTATTAATTTTGGGGCTGTGACCAGCTCTGGCTGTGGATTCATTTGAGAAGTGTATCCCAGGCATTTGTTATGTTCTTGGCTTTCACTGTGTGGCTTGCAGTAAACTCTCAACAGGACCAACTGTACAATCCAGCCATACTGCTTAAAGGATGATAATAAAGTCCCATAGAACTAATCTGTTGTTACTGCCATGCTATGGTAGAAGTAGTTTTCCAGTGTGCAAGAACTACCAAATATTTCTGACAGCAACAACAGCAGCACAGAGCTGACTCAGAGACTCAAAATCACATTTGGTGATGGCTTTGAAAGACATCAACACTAGCGAGTAGGAAGGGGTGCAGGGAGAACAATAAGAATAGAGAAGGTTGCTTCCACCTTGAATGAAACTGGTAATTATGAGCACCAAAGTGGTGCTGGTCAGAAGATCATTTGCACCTCCTGGTGGCGATTAAAATCTTGAAACGTGTCAAGATCAGAGGTGCCAACAAAATTCACCTATGGTGCTCTGTTCACTATAATAAGGCAGCAGCAAATTCCTGAAATCTGCTGTAGAGGAAAGAAGAATAGGTACAAAAACAATGCAACACACTGAAGACATAAAGCTTTTCACATCACTTCTGAATCAAAAACAGATCCACAGGAAATACTGTTCTTAAAAACTAAATTTCCAGTGAAACCAACTCAATACTCAAATTTTCAATGCATGTATTGCACAGGAGCAATGACAAAATCAGGGAGAAGACTGTGTAAATGTGCAATACAATGGGAAGTGCATAATCTCTACTGTTTCACCCATGGTAATGTGATATACCTGCAATATAAGACATCTGGGAAATGTTGGTTGCTTTAGAAAATAGTACTGACTGGTAGCCTTACCATCAACAATCCAGGCTTGTTGTTCAGCTCTCTGATTAGCTGCAGGCTTCTTGTGCGTTTCGGGCTCCTGCGACTGCCTGTCATTTGCAAGGTGCCATTGTAATAAATATCAAATAAGATAACAAGCACCTATGGAGCCCAAATATCTCTAAAGACTTGTAGGAGTATCTATTCATATTTTTCTTGCTATGAACGGTGTGAATGCTCACACAAAAGGACTTTCCTAATTTTGAAGTGCACAGTCAAGTACAGATGAAGGACTTTCCATTTCTTCAGACAAAATAATCACTGTAATAGCTTGACTACTGAAAACCACCTAATGACAATTCTATTGGAAAGAAAATGATATATATATCTTTTTATGGGCCTCCAAGAAGTTGCAAGAGGCTGGTAATTGTAATTTGGAAGTGTCACTTGGAAAATGTGCAGTGTTCAGTCCTAACTGCATATGCTTAAGGCAAAGTAGAAAGGAACAGGGATTAGTTTTCCAATTGGGCTGTTACTGCAATTAGCAGTGCCCTTACAAGGTAGGTAAGAATCTCTTCTATAGAATTCAAGCCTCTGTTAGTGAAAATGGGATAAATAATTGCATAGATTTCTCCCATGCTTTACAGCTTGGATGCATTGTTGGCCTGGTCACAACTTTTGGGACATCACAATTGTCCTAGTGAACACAGGTGCTGATCTAAGCTCCATCTCATACATACTGTTGTTTTATAGGTATATCTTTAATGTAGACATAAGGTCTTAAAGTCACTAACAAAAAAAAAGGGTGAAGTAGGCATAACAAGATCTTGCATTTTATTTAATCCTGCATGGAGAGTGTTGCTGAGTGCTCCAGCAGTGCTGTGCATATACCATTGGTCAGGGGTTTGAGAGTGTCTTAAGTAGTCAGGAGAAGCCTATTCAACTTTTGAGCAATGGATGGACAACTGAACTGTGTCTCTGAAATCTATCAAGACAAACAGCAACTAGGATGGTGAGATCATTTGCTAGAAGGACTTCCAGAAAGCAATCTTTGGCAATATAAATTCCTACTCATCTATGTAGTTACTGAATCTTTCTCAGTGTACTGAGTGTGCCACCCTCACAAGGACATCTGATGGCTGGCGTTGGGCCTGGTGCTGGAAGAGCTGAGATGTCTCTAGCAAACAGTATTCCAAGCTTTTGTGCCTGATTCCCCTGGATGCTGGCTGCCCTGACAACTAAGAGCAATGCCACATCCCTCAGGTCATGTGCATACCAAACGTGTGTGGTGACTGGCAGAGCTGTTTAGTATTTAGCAAGTAGAATGTATATGTAATTGTATACACTGGGAAATACATACAGAAACTTAGATGTTGTGTTCTGGTAACTGAAACTCTTGACTATGTAATAGCCCAGTTGTTGTTATAACAAATTAGTCAGCTTTGATTTGGCCAAGGTACTGATACTAACCTGCAGCCCATGCTCACAGTCTTGAGAAGGGCTGCTCTTTGCACCGTTCTGTTAATGGAGCACTCTAAATAAAGGATTTGTCTACACTGTACCATACACTGCACAATTAATGGTAATGTGAATGGCAGTCTTATGCACAGCATATGCTGAAAACGTATCTCTGTGCAGGTTACCTAGCAGGGGAATTTCATTGCAAGGTTCGGTCAGCTAAAAATCAGTTCTGTGCTCACGGCTGATAATCAGATTTGTCACTTAATAACAATAAGCACATGTGTTTAGCATCAGCTGACATGCTCTTCTCTGAAATCTTACAAGCCAATTATCATTATAATGAACAATGGAGGCTGGCTGATGTTTTACAGTCTATTTAGAATTACTGTTATGCTCTAATGTTTCCTTTTTTTTGTTTGTTTGTTTTTTAAACAAATTGCACAGACCAAAGGGAAACAGAGGAGTTCATTTCTATAATTGCTAATTGTTCACAGTACACCATACTGAAAGATGAAAAAGCCCCATAGGAGGTAAATCTTCTTCCTCTGTTTTAAATAATCAGTTGATTGGAATTTGCTACTCAGGATCTCATTTAGGAGATTCTATAAAGGAGAAGTCACTCAATGAGATGAACAGCTTGGTATAGGAGGAACACAGAAGGAAGGAGAGAACTTGCTAAGTTGAGAAGTTTTATTCTAGGAGTTGAATGAGTCAAAAATAAGTCATGCTGTTGTGAAAAAAAGATGGAGTGCAGTCTTGAATACCAAAATGCACAAAGAGGAATGTAGCTTGCTTGATGTAAACATTGAGATATATCAAATATATATATATGTATATCACCTTTCTGCTATTTTCAGCATTGGAAACCATTGGACTCATTTGGTGTTGCAGTTGAAGATGTAGACTAGTTACAAAGAATCCAAAGAGAAGCATGGAGTATAATAAGAGGTCTCAAGTAAGACCAAGGAGGTAAGAAGAGCTAATCAGGTGGTGTGGTTCAGCTTTTAGAAGGAAGACTTCAGATAACACAGGGATAATCCTAAAATACGCAGAAAGTAGAATCAAGCTACCTTTAGTATCCTGAAGTATGAAGGAGGACAGAAAAAGTCTTTCCTAAAAAGACTAGACAGAAATAGCCTTTCCTAAAAGTTTATGTGATGGAATGTTGTGATCTTACTCTTCTGGAAGAAAGATGCAGGTTAAACAATAGGAAAAAGCTTTCTAACAGGATAAGAAGATGCTGTTTTTTCTGTCTTTGGAGGTCTTTAAAAAGATGTTGGATAAACATCTGTCATGAATGATATAGGTGTAGATAATTCTGTCTGGGGTAGGGGTATAAACCAGGTGAACTGGTGAGGTATTTTCTTTCTCTATGTTTTGTATTAAAAATAAATAACCTCTGTATTGAGGTTGCCCTCACTTATCATGTTTGGATCAGTCTAGCCTGAGATTCTCATTCCAGGACGGGATTTAAAAAAAACCTTTGAGAGATGGGATTTGGGTGCCTACCTCCTGTTGACTATTTTTGACAATCCTAGCCTTTAAAAGTATTCTTTATCCAGATAAGATAATTTTCTATATGTTGACATTTAAATCCTCTGACTAAATCTGTGTTTCCCTGAAATGTTTCTGCCTGTTCCAACAAGCCCTTCTACGTTAAATTGTTATTTTTTGGGATGAATCACACTGAGAACATTCAACGTGTCAAGCTTGGTATAAAAATGGGCAGTCAGAATGTGAGCTAATCAACAGCAGCTTTTGTATTTCTTTTTTTAAACACAAAAGGGATTATTTCCACATCTCTGAATAACCCAAATATCTCAGAGAACAATTAACTGACCCAACAAGCATTACAGCTCTGTGGGAAATAGAGGTTTGGCAAGCAGTGATCTAGCATGAAAATGGAACGAAACAGATTTTTAAATGAATAAAGTAAACAGCACTTCCTCATAGTCTGTCTTTTCTGATTCCTCTGTCCTTTCTGTTTCATACACCTTTACTATTGGCTAGTGCAGCTGTTTTTTTTTCCCATTGGTACTTGTCATCTGCTTTGTTGTTGCTCTACTCATTTCTTTGAAGAATCTTTTTTTTTCCTTTTTTTTTCTTTAGCATCAAGAGGAAGGAGCAAATCAGGTTGTGAATAGGAAGTCAAGCAATTTCACTTGCGTGTGAGCCCAAGAACTCCACAAGTGAAAGGCGCCTGTCCTCTGGTGTAGCAGCTGAGGGATCAGGGGCATTATCCAACAAGCCAGAACTCAGTGTGCTACTTCTTAATCTCAGGTGCTTAAATTCACATTACTGAGAAGCATACTTTCTAGTCAGGGAGCAGGGAAGGAGTAGAGTTGCTCCTCAACTCTTCTGAAACCAGGTTGTGCTTCAGAGAGGGCTTGCCTATAGCACAGAAGGAAACTGGTACAAGGAAGAATCTGCTGCCTTGCGAGGGAAGGATTCCAAGGAGGGAGGAGGGTACCTGCTTGCAACTCAGACACTGAAGTACTCTCCAGGGAACACACAGCTGAACCCTTTCAGACCACAGAGGGCCTGCAGTTTTGTTTTTTCGCAGCCTAAAGGACTATGAGAACCATTAGCCTGTTTTCTGAAAACAACATTTTAAATGAAAGAAAAAAAAAAAAAAGAATAGTTATGTACAGACCATAGGCTCTTCAGTGTTCAAAGCTGTTCTGAGCTTGCAATGGTCTGGGTCTGAAGGCATCCGAAGCTGAGAACCCACAGTCACATAGGATTATCTCAGGGACATTTCTTTCTTTTGCATTTCCTGCTTCCTAGCTTAGTGCCCTACACATCCCCACTCCCCTTTACCTGTTTAGTGGGCTGGCTGCCAGGAATTTAATTGCCACTCCCTCTCTAGATTGACCAGGTAGGTGAACTTTTGGGAGTGCCTTAGGACCTCATAGGTAGCAATTATGATTTGCTAAGATCTACCATGCTGAAGTCCCTCTGTCAGTTTGTTCCCAAATCATCACTTGCAGGGCTCTTTGCAATTCTATCAGGCTAGTTTGCTTGCTTTTCCCGTAGGCTTTCCAGGTCTCTATGTGCTGTAAATTCTTCCCTTTCCTCTTCTATCGTGCTATACTCCTTGTTTGCAACAGCTTCCCACTTCCTTATCACCTATTATTCCAGCCCTCTTTTTCCTGTTAGTGATTTTGTTTTTATATATACCCTGTGGAATGTGCTGGGAACACACGCTTTCACTTTCTGAGATTCACTTATTAACACCCTTACAGAACTCAGGCACCCTATGTCTTTTCCTCCACTCGTAGGGCATGTGGGTAATGCCTCTGCTGCTCTTCCAGGGCTGAGGACAAGGCAGTCCTACATCCCTTGCCCATGGGTTCCCTCAAGGCCTGAGATGTGTGCTTGCTACTTCCCTGCTTGGTTTTCCCTTATGCCTCTGCATGGTGTCAGCAGCCCGGGCAGCTCTTGGGAAGATGTGTAGGTGTGCTGGTTTCTGTGATTGTCAGGCTCTGTTTGACTGCAGCTGGGTAAACTGATATAACTACCTGACCACAGTTGGTCTCCCCAAACATATGAGTTGGCCTATGAACCTGGCCTGCTGCCCATCAATTATGAGTGAAAATCCCACTGGCTGTTTTGGGCTGTTGGGTGGTGCTTTGAAAGTAACTGCAGAGGTCCTTCTGAATCCTACTTCCTGGTCTTGCTCCAGCTTATCCTACACCATTTGTACAGAATCCCTTAGCACTTCTGTCCTACACCAGCCTCCTGCCCTTCCTTCAGCACTAGCCTGGTCTAACCTTAACACAGTCAGATCCTGTACAGGCACCAACTACTGATAGCATCATTAAGCTCTCCTGATCTTCATGACATTCATCATTCTGAAGAGTGAACTTACACCAAAATATATTTTGGAAAATGTGCTCCTTCTCTGCCAGCAATGTAGAGGCAGAGCCCACTGAGAGCTGTGTCTGTCTTCATCCTTGAAGCAGTACTGACATCAGTGGCATGACCAAAGATAAAGTTGGCATGAAAAATGTTTGCCTGTCTTTTCAAATTCTGTGGGTTTGGTCTGTTTTTCATTACAGCTGCAGTGCGTGGCATTGGCACAGCCACTCCTGCCTCTCCAGGAGAGGGAGAGTGGCATCAGCACCTCCAAAGAGCTGCCATGTCGCCTGCCTATGAGGCCTTAGAGCCCAACTGAAGGATTCTTGGGCTGTGAGCAAGCTCTTCAGTGCTCCCTATGAAGATCTCCTGATGTTAAGACTGGAAAAGTGACTGCAAAATCTCCACAAGGTGATCCAAGCCTTGAAGCCAAAGTCTCATCCTGGAGCATTACTGGAAAGCTGCACTTAAAAGATAGGTCCTGGAGATCCAGGTCTCATTCCTTTAGCCTCAGTTCTCACGAGTGAAATGTCTGTTCAACTTAGAACTAAAAATTTGATATTTTGCAGGATGGAGATTTAAAAAAAAAAACTTTGTCTCTTTCCATTTTTTAATTTAAATTCATTCAAAGCAGCATTTTCAAAATGAAATGTTCTGAATTTTCAGGGCAACATGTTCTGCTTTCCCTAAGAAACTATTATTTGTTGAATATCATCATATGTATGAAGGATCTCACTCACTCAAAACTTGCTGTTGCATCCTTCTTTTGAATGCATTTCCCTCTATACTGCTGGGCATGCAAACTACATGAGGTCAAACGTTTGAGTTTGCTTCGATTCTGGTATGTGGACTTTTGTGGATGTTTGCCTGAATCAAGCTGTAAGCAATTCCAGAAAAGCATCTGACTTTGTGAAGCATAGTGTGCCTTCATCTGCTTCTTGACCCACAGTCTGTCAGAATATGGCTGCTTTCTCAGTTTTTGCTGGGTGTCTTCCAGCCCTACTGCATTTTCCATTTCACCTCCTTTATTAGTGTGACTAAGCACCTCTTGAGGGTTACTCTGACATGGTTGGTTTGTTTGAGTTGATAATTTCTGGGAGTTATACAGCTGGACTTATGTTTTTAAGTTTCCCATTACCCCATAATTTTATTTTATTTTATTTTTTTTGCCTTGGAATGGCTCAAGGAAATGCACGCAAACTCAAATCTGCATGTGGTTTTACTTGGAAGGCTTAATGAGAGATGTTAACCTATGTGTTTCTAGCCTGTTTCTACAACAAGAAAGTTATTTTGAATTCTGTACGGAACTTCACTCACATATTCAAAGATGAAGATATTGAGCAGCTACTTTTTCAGCTAGAAAACAGTGCACGTGAGCAGTTGCATAACGTTGTATTGACGAACTTTCCTCTTCTTGCTCACCACATTCTCTTTTTATGAAGGAATGACCTCGGTCCTAAAAGTTAGCCCCATATTTCCTTCTGGCCTTTCAAGGCATGTTACAAATCATCCTTTGACGATTTGTTGCAGCCTTTATGATTTTTGCTAACAATTAAACTCCACAAAATTGACGTGTTGGGTTTTATGGACAGTGTCCGGGTTAAAGAGCGAGGCAGGCTACAAGGAGAAGGGAAAACCCAAGAGTTCAGGCAGGTGACTGTGGGAAGTATGGCTCTGCTGCCTCAGCATGGGCTGGGTGCCTCTGGCATGTCTAGCTTTGATCCTGGGCTCTCGTGGTTGCCTGACTTTACTCACATGCCGATGTCAGTAGGATTACAAGAGACGTTAAATGGGATGAGTGTTTGCTGTATTGCATCTTTGGTCTCTACCCACTGCTGGGGAGCACATGAACAATGTGGCTATGGGCAGCTGGAGTGACTGCTCTGAGTCATGCCACTCAGTGGACTTGAGTTAGCATCTCACTAGAAGACACTTTAGCTGAAAATAAAGTCAAGTACAGGACTCTAGTGTCACATCTCTTCCATGTGCTAGGACCATCTGCCTCTAACTAAAACTCTGTTCCACACAGCTGCAGTTTGTGATCTAATATCCTGAGGGCACCTGGTGTAATGCCCTGGTGCACAGCCGCCTCCTGGCTTCAGCCAGCTCTCAGCACTGCTGCCAGGGAGATCTTCTGTCATTAGTGAGTAAGTCCAGTTTCCTTACTGGCGTTGAGGGTGGGAGTT